GAGAAGAATTTGATTTGTACATGTACAAGCAGGTAGACCTAGGCAACAAATACGGAGGTACCTCTTTCTTTGATTATCATAGGTCTTAGAAACATAGAATGTGACGGCAGATAAGAACCATTCGACCCATCTAGTCTGCCCAATTTTTTTTAGATACTTTCATTAGTCCCTGGCCTTATCTTATAGTTAGGATAGCCTTATGCATATCCCACGCATGCTTAAACCCCTTTACTCTGTTAACCTCTACCACTTCAGCTGGAAGCCTATTCCATGCATCCACTACCCTCTCAGTAAAGTAATTCTTCCAGATATTATTTTTAAACCTTTGCCCCTCTAATTTAAGACTATGTCCTCTTATTGTGGTAGTTTTTATTCTGTTAAATATAGTCTCCTCCTTTACTGTGTTTGTGTCACGTATTCATCCGCATATAAAAATGTGATTAATGACATTTACTGTTCTGACAGGAAAAGTTGTGCCGAGCAACATTACTGTCCGGACAAGAAAAGTTGTGCCGAGCAGCAATTAAATCCACAGGAGGGTTTGTGCTGAGCAGCAATTATGCAAATGGAAACCTGGTAACTGCCTTTGGGGTCAAAGGCCAATTACAGCCTATCAGATCCAGAGGAGGCCCAGTTCTCATCCTGCTCAGTGCCCTGTCGTGGTTTCCCTTGTGGTTGTCCGAGAGCGTGTTAGTTGGTTCATTAGCTAACCAATCTTAGCTCTATCTGAGGGAAAAGATCCCGGTGAGGCCTCAAAGTGCTACTCAATTTGATTCAGAAATCCCCGACATTCATGAATGTTACCATCAAAATGCGGGGGAGGAGATAGTAGGTGCCTTATGTACTATAGGTGGAGGTACTTGTTAAGACCTGCAGTGGTTATGGTACTGCGGTCTTCTATTCCTTCCCCAATAGCTGAGCATAAGTGATTTTAACTGCAGTAGGAGGTAGAGGAATAGTGTAGATGAATGCAGCTTCCAAGATGATTCTTGCCAGCAAATAGAATATTCCCCAAACATGAGCCTAGACTTCATGAAGGGTGTAACAGGAATGAAGTTTATTGATGGCACACTGGCTTTTATGAGAAATCCTCCTGCAAGAGGACCTCCCACAGTAAACAAAGACCAATCAACATACAGCTTTACAGTAACCCCTGCTCTCTCTCTGCTTGAGAGATATTGAGAAAAGTTAAGGAATAACCCAATATTCTCCAGGCAGAGGGCACACAATTTCCCCAAAAGTTATAACACCCCTTTCCACACAAGGTATCCCCTCAAGTTATTATATCCCCTGATAGCCCTGATCTGTGGGACCAACATATCCAAATTTCACCCAGATCGGTTGAAGGATTCTTAAAAAATATGGAAGTCACAAGTTACCGACCACACACGAGGCTCTTGCCCAAAACAGTTCCACGAATTCAGCGTGTGCGGTCGGTCAATTCAGAAAAAGGCATACAATGAATAAAAGTCCCGAATGGATCCTCCTGGCTCATAGGAGCGATTGCTCCCCTTGTCCGTATGAACAAAACTACCAAATGGCGCTCTCCTGGCTGTTCGGCAACTAAAGGAAGCAGGCGTTCGGTAGTTTCAGCGGTGGTTCGGGAGGTCAGTGTCCGATTTTAGTTCCAGACACTCAACGACCAAGTCCCGCTGCCTCCTTTCGTGCAAACAAGTTGGCTGCCGTTTTCTGTTCCACGTGGCATTCGGCTATACGAACAGCGGCAGCCCAGAGAGCGCTTAATAGATGGTTCTTTTGAAGTTAATGAGCCAGGAGGTTGGTCGGTGTTCGGTAGTTTTAAACTACCGAACCAATAGATTCAACATGTACAAAATACTGCAGAAAAAGCCCGAACATAGGAGAAAATACCGAACCAAGTCTATTTTCTTCACAGTACTTTAGGCAGAGGTGACATAGTTCGGGTAAGAAGCGTACTGAAAGCCTGGGCAAATTGATCCATACAGTGATCATTCTTCTCTAGCTTTCTGTCGCAAGCTGCTATGTGCTGACATAATTCTGCAGGATCTATGGCCATGTCGTAATGTCAGGATACTAGTTGATCCAGCACCCAGAATTGTATCACACCTAGGACTAAAGATAACGTCTTACCAGACCGTAGAATGGCCAGACTTAACGTACCAGAGAATAATCAGGATACTTGCCAAGGTCTGAGATACAGAGAGAGACACAACGATGTTGGAAAGCCAAAAGTCAAGGATACCAGAATATAGGGAAGTCAAAACGAAGCCAAAGTAAAAAAACGGAAATAAACGCTCAGGGACACTCTCTCGGATAACCAGACAATGTTTTGATCTGGGCTTTAAAGGAGGGGGACCAATCGGCTGTTTTCACGGACTAGATCAGTCTTAGTCCATACACCCACGCATTCACTATGGTGCAATGGTAATGAGCCCTATAGCCTATTCAGTATTCTGCTATTTAATGTTATGTTTTGCAATCCCTTTAATGTATATCAGGGATTGCATGATCTACCTGAATTTCCCAGGGATTCCCCTTTTTCTTTCTCAAGAACCAATAATTCCCTCTCAAAATTTATCACTATGCAAGATAGCACCAACATGTTATGTAAGATGGCTTGAGACAAAAGTTAATTGTGAAGAACTTGAAGTCTAATTAATTTATATTAAATAAATCTCTAGCTTGTGATCAATTTATTATAATGGACTTATAATATAATGGATTTATTTAAAAGTTAATTATTGGGAGGTCCTGTGGTGCAGTTGTGGCAGAAGCTTCTTGGTATAGTTTTCTACAGCGACACAAACATGGGCCCTGGTCTACTTACATGGATTAAAGTTGTGTGGGGCCGGTTATCTTTATCTTTGTACTGGTATAATGTGAATTGTAAAGGCTTTCATTTACACAATAGTTTACCTACATGAAGAACAGTGCACAACCAATCCTGAACTGATATTCATTATATCATTTTAGCATTGTAACATTCTATTTCTAGACCACTGTACTTGTCTGGAGAGGGATGGAGACACTGGAATTGGCATATGTTACTGCTTTTGTGTGTGCTCAACTGTATATTGGAAATTAATTCCTCTAATGATTGAAAATTACCTTAAATAAAAATATATTTAAAACTAATAGATCTGTGTATGAGCTGAAAGGTAATATAGCACAGTTCTGCCAAAACAAATGCACAGTTACTTTGGATAAGTACCTATTACAACTGTGGATCCTCTACTTCAGTTTTCTAAATGACGATAATATGAGAAACATGCTGCCTTTTGCCTTTGCATTAGAACTCTAAACCTACATTTGTATTTCAGGATAAGTAATTAACCACGTGGAGTAACACACATCCATCCCACTAGAGAGAAGGATACCTGATTTCCACAATGGAGGCTGGCAATGTCCAACAGCAGTTAATGGTGGTTTCTGCTTGCACACATATACATATATCCTAGGGAAGTTGCTATCCGAGTATTTCAATTAATTAATCAAGACAATGAATGTTTGTAAATCTAATGGCTGAACCTCAGTATATCTTACAGATTTCAGGTGCACAGCTTGGGTTTTTTATTGGCTCTCTGGAGCATTTAACTCTCTGAAGTAATTACCTGACTGTTTTAATTGGTATGCCTTACTTTGTAAAGGAAATTTGACTTTGTTTTAAAAGTTGTTTCATCAGAACACCACTTTAAACATTTTTTTTACTGCAAGATTTACCAGAATGTAATAAGTTTAATCTGCAATATACACTATTCATTGCCAGGTTTATATTTTATTTTTGGAGTTCAGGAACCAACAAGAGTTAAAACATTCCCTTATGACTGAGTGAGTTTTCCTAGAGCATAATCTGTATAATTCAGATAATGTGCTATTTGTTATATCTTCATGGCATTTAATTTTAGATCTGTATGGGATTTCATTTGTATATGCTCCATGGACTCCCTTCAGGGAGGTTATATTCAGTATTCTGCTATTTAATATCCTAGGTACCTTATGTATGGCAATTCCTTTAATGTATATCAGGGATGGCATGCTATACCTGAATTTTCCGGAGATTCCCCTTTTAGTTTCTGAAGAACTTCAGATAAATTGTTCTATTTAAGATTAATAACATTGGAAAACAATAATTGCCTCTCAAAATTTAGCACTTTGCAAGATAGCATCAATGCGTTATGTAAGATGGCTCAAGACAAAAGTTAGTAGTGAATAAACTGAGGTCTATGAATCCCAGTATAATCAATTGATCACAATCATTACTTGTGATCAGTTGAGCTAGCAATTTATTTAGGAGGTAATTAGAGATGATTTATGACACTTTTAGAACTTTTACCTGGTTGCAGCAGAATTAAATAAACTCTCTTAAAAAAAAAAAAAAAAAAAGAGAGAGAGAGATGCACCTTTAAAAATTCACTGCATGCAGAGGTGAAGTAGAGGCAGCAGACTGACGGCTCCAGATCTTGAAATGTACTGTTAAATACTGGATTTAATTGAAAGCAGTGAAATTTAAGATGCAAGGGGCCATGGTACGAGGCACACTTTTATGAAGTCACCGTTGGTTTCAGGAAGGAATTTAACGCAGAGACAAACTGTACAATTCTTTCACACATTTTGTTTTATTTTATTTGCCTAATCAATAACCAGGTAGCCTCAACTTATGGGTATATCCTAACCCCCCCAAAGTTAATGGAACAGGAAGAGCATCTGTAAAACAAGTATTAACCTTTTACTTATCAGGAAGTTTGTGTAACAACCTACAGAACAACCATAGAGATATAATTACAATATTGGTAACGTGGAAAATGATTGAAGGTATGGTATTTCTGAATACATTTTTATTGAAGATGAAAAAAATAGCTTGAAGAACTCTCAAATGGTGTAACTAATAAGGTCTCAACATTATCTGTCTGTGCAATGGAATGCTCCTCCTTCAAATAAGAAGACATGAAATTTAAAACTTGAAATGTAAAAATGTCTTTTTGACATAGCAAGTTCTTTAAAACAGGAAACTTCATCATAAACAACATATTAAATTTTTTGTTTGAAATAACATATTCTGTAAACTTTATGGATGGCATCACGTAACTATGAGAAAGAAGAGTAATACAGTTGTAATCAAAATTATTCAACCCCCATTGAAAATCAGGTTTATTGTCAAAATTTACAGACATTCAACTGGTTGCAATTTAAATAGCTGAACACAACAAATGCTTCAAGTTTTGCAATCAACAAGATATAAGCAGAAAGTGTCTGAGTGGGCATTTTTGTGTCTGTCACCAATGAAATGTAATAAAAAAAAAATAAGAAATTATCCCAAGGCACACTACGGTTTTGCACATAAAAAGAGTATTTATTCATGCATAGAAAATACAACAAGGCATCATTATAGCAGAGAGAAAGTGCATAGTATAGTGCTAAACCAGTATATCGTACCAAAACCACAATGTAAGTAAAGTGCTAAATGCAAAAACCCATTAAAAAAGGTATATACCAAGAGCAGGAGAATTGAAACCCCAACATTTCGGCTGTGAAGCCTTCCTCTAGGGGACCTCTCATAAACACACCAGACATACACATACACTGACACAAACACACACATACACTAACAGACATACATACACACACTAACAGACACACATACACTAACAAACATACGTACACACACACACACACACTAAAAGACATACATACACACACACACACACTAACAGACACACATACACACATATACACTAACAGACATACACACAAACACATACACTAACAGACATACATACAAATTATTATTATTATAATTAACATTTGCCACCCACCCAGTCTCCCTACATTTTGGGAAAGCTGGCATGGATGGGACCCTGGGGTCTAGTGGGGCTGCAGTGAGGCAGGCGGTTGTTCTAATCAGAAGCGGCGAGGGAGCTGTGTTCTCCCAGCTCTGCTCGCTCACGGGCTGTCTACTGATGCAGGAGCCGGAATATGACCTCATATCAGCAAACGGCGTGCGAGGGTGCAGAGCTGGGAGAACTCAGCTCCCTCGCCACGTGTGTCAGGTAGACAGGCACCCGCCAGGGGGTGTCCATTAGGTGGTCTATCAGGTGCCCCCCCCCCCCATGACAGAGGGAAGACGGGGGCATTTGGGGACGGCATTTTTTGTTAGTGCCTGCAGGAGCAACAGGAAGGGCGTTCCTGCTGTGAAAAAAGGTGCAGGAACGCCGTTCCCACGCATTCCTGCAGGACTCGAGCCCTGATGACAATGTTTGGTGTGTGCCAGTGTTAATTTTGTCAACTAACAATTTAGTCAAAACTAAAACTAAAACAATTCAAATTACTAAAATACGATTAAACCTAAAATGGCTTTTCAGTCAAAAGACTATGACTAAAACTAAATTAAAATTTGCAGCCAAAATTAACACTGCACAGAGGAGTTGTGGAAGGGGCAGAAGAGGCTTGGGAGAGAAACACCTAGAGGGTCTGGGAGGACACAGAGGGGCTGGGGAAAGGGCAAAAGAGATAAATAGAGGCTTTAACTAAGGAGAGTTAGTCGACTAAAATCTACTGAAGATTTAGTCAACTAAAACAATTCAGATTTGTAAAATACGACTAAAACTAAAAGGGCTTTTCAGTTAAAAAACAATGACTAAAACCAAATTTAAATTTTCTTTCGAAATTAAGACTGGTGAGCATACCTTAAGATGGTAACATTGTTGGTGTGAGCTCCTTCTTGTTGTAAAGTCAGCAATCCCAGAAGGAAATAATAGAGTGACAAGTATAACTGAATGTTATAGGAGGATTATTGCTCACTTCTACCACGGTGTGAATGCTAGCCAACTCTTGAGGCAGGAGCAAGAGAAGGCATCTCTTACCACACACTGTCTATGACAAGATATAAGTACAGGTGGAACTCTACTTTGGAGATGCTAGAGAGACTTTTAGAGCAGAAGTGGACAATCCATAATCTTGGTATTGTGTCTCCACTGGGTAGAGTGAAGGATAGCTAGTGGCAGTCCTAAAACCTTTTAGGGATGCTACTTAAAACCTGAGCCACAACACCAATCTGGGACAGGTTATCCCTATGTTTATACATCTAGTGAGCTAGATGGATATCCTCTTTGAAAACCCTCCTTCTGGCTGCATCAGTGGTGTGGCAATGTCTGCTACATCCTGGTCAAGCTGATAAGGACTAATTTGTGTATTTTTTTTTCTTCTTTTCCACTATTTCCCAAATCGACTCCAAGGTGGTTCCGCTTGTATGCATTTTTGCTTAATTGCTTTGTAATTTTGAGGAATATGGAGGTGTAGCCAAGTTGTGCCATTTACAAGTTATTTGAGTGTCACCTTATATTTAACACGCTGGTCATTGTTTGTGAGTGAGCTGCATATAATTTATATTTTTATATTTCGTCTCCTTTTACATATATTGGAGATCTTTATAATATTCCTATGCAATATTTCTCTACGTTGTACATTCAGTGTGCTTCACGTTTTAAACGGGTGTGATATATTGTTTTTCTTTTAGCACAAAGTAATATTAATTTTCTCTATTTCAAAAGATATATTTATATTTTATGACATAAGTCAAAACAAACAGAGCACAAGAAAAAAGCCAAAAGAGAAAAAAAGAAAATACAAAATTGCATGTACACAAAAGGAAACAAATACATCCAATACCAGTTCACACCGTCTCTGAGGAAGGGGGTTGAGCTTAACAAACCTGAAAGAAAAAACATAATATAAGGTAACACAAGAGCTGATAGAGCAATGATCAGTCATTATTTTGTGCCATGATTCACACATATACTGCTTCCTAGGTTCTAAACCTTGAGGCTTGTATAGTAATGCCTCCATATTTACCGTATATATATACTCGAGTATAATCCGAGTTTTTCAGCACATTTTTTTGTGCTGAAAAAGCCCCCCTCGGCTTATACTCGAGTCAGTGTCAGTATTATGGCAACTTACATGGCCATAATACAGACCAGGACCTCCGGGCTCATTACAAGCCCGTTGGTCCTGTTGGGGGCCGGCAGCAAGCTGTTACTTACCTTTGTAGCAGCTCTGGTCACCTCCGTTCCGTTCAGCTCCCAGTGTAAATCTCGCGAGACCCGCGGCCGTCAGAGCGTTGCCACGGAGTACCGTGGCAACGCTCCACGCGGCACAAAGACCGCAAAACTTACACTGTGAGCGGAAGGGAATGGAGGTGAAGGGAGGTGACCGGAGCTGCTACAAAGGTAAGTAACAGCTTGTTGCCACCCCCCCCACGTGCACACCACTGGACCACCAGGGAATCATATAGCCAGGCAACAAGCAGGGAGGTGGGACAAAAAAACCCCATTAAACAATTACATTTTATTATATTAAAATAAAAGAATATTTAAAAAAATATATAATAATAAAATAAAAATAAAATAATATTAAAATAAAAAATTATAAAAATGCCCTCCCCTCACCCAGTTTACACACACCACACAAACACACACACTCTACATTATATACACACACACTCTGCATTATATACACACTGCATTCATACAAACACACACTGCATTCATACAAACACACACTGCATTCATTATATACGCACACTGCATTCATTATATACACACACTGCATTCATACAAACACACACTGCATTTATTATATACACACACTGCATTCATACAAACACATACTCTGCATTATACACACACACACTCATACAAACACACAATCTGCATTAAATACAAACACTTTGCATTATATACACACACTGCATTCATTATATACACACACAGTGCATTCACGCAAACACACACACACACACTCCATTCATTATATACACACACTGCACAAACACACACTCTGCATTCATTATATACACACACTGTAAATAAATATTCAATTAATGTAATTTTATTGTAATCTAATTTTATTTAGAAATTTACCAGTAGCTGCTGCATTTCCCACCCTTGGCTTATACTCGAGTCAATACGTTTTCACAATTTTTTGTGGCAAAGTTAGGTGCCTCGGCTTATATTCGGGTCCAGGGCCGGACTGGCCCACCGGTATACCGGGAAATTTCGGCACCTGGGGCTGGGCAGGCAGCTGGCTCTTCTGGTGGCCGCATAGGGAGCTCTTTAGGCGGCTGCAGGGGGAGCTGGCTGTTCTGTCTCTGCTCCCCTTCCCCAGCGCACTGCTTAATGAGACCTGGGCCGGAATATGACGTCATATTCCGGCCCCGGTCTCATTAAGCGGCGCACTGGGAAGCAGAGACACAACAGCCAGCTCCCCCTGCGGCCGCCTAAAGAGCTCCCTATGCGGCCGCCAGAAGAGCCAGCTCCCCCATGCGGCCGCCATCAGAGCTCCCCATGCCAGCACACAGGTAGAAATTATGTGTGTGTCTGTGTCATTTGTGTGTGTGTCTCTCATGGTGTGTCTGTCTGTGTCATGGTGTGTGTGTGTCTCTGTCTGTCATGGTGTGTGCGTCTGTCTGTCATTGTGTGTGTGTGTCTGTGTCATGGTGTGTTTGTGTTTGTCATGGTGTGTGTGTGTGTCTTTATGTCATGGTGTGTGTGTGTCTGTCTGTGTCATGTAATGTGTCTGTGTCACAGTCTGTCTGTGTTATGGTGTGTGTGTCAAGGTGTGTGTGTGTGTCTTTTTTAAGGTGTGTGTCTGTCATGGTATGTGTGTGTGTCTGTCATGGTGTGTGTGTGTCATGGTGTGTCTGTGTTTCTGTCTGTGTCATGGTGTGTGTTTCTGTCTGTGTCACGGTGTGTGTGTGTCTGTGTCACGGTCTGTCTGTGTCATGGTGTGTGTCTGTCATGGTATGTGTATGTGTGTTTTTACTCACCTTTTCTTCCCCCCCACGTCGTGCTGGTCTCCCCTCGACTGGCCCTGCCTCTACGGCTGAGATCATCAAGCTTGATGATCTCAGCCAATCCGCACTGACACAGGAAGCACCTCTAGTGACCATCTGAGTGTCTGTCACTAGGAAGCAATGTAAACACTGCCTTTTCTCTAAAAAGTCAGTGTTTACATTGAAAAGCCTGCAGAGACAGGCTATAGACACCAGAGCCACTACATTAAGCTGTGTGTGTGTGTGTGTGCACCTGCTAGTGAGTGGGCTTGCTTGTGTGTGTGTGTGTGTGTGTGTGTGTGTGTGCCTGCTACTGAGTGAGCTTGTGTTTTTATGTCAATGACCTTATGTATATCAGTGAGGTTGTTTGTCTATGAGGCTGTGTATCAATCAGCTTGTGTCAGTGAGATTGTCTGTGTCTGCATGGGAGTATGCTTACTGTATAATTAAACATTTTACTCTGAAAGGACCAATATTTTATATTGGAAAAAGCAATATATATATATATATATATATATATATCTCAATCATGTAGGGTGGCAAGACATAGCCTTACATATTACATGCAACAATATATGGCGCAATGACTTATGGGGCTGGCATAGATTTTTTTTCCAGGGCTGCTTTGGAATCCCAAGTCCGGCCCTGTTCGGGTCGACTTATACTCGAGTATATACGGTAACTGAAACAGAACCTGTGAATTTAGCATAGCTCATGTAAAAGATTTAGTAGATTTCTTGTTGCTGGCACCATTTAGCTGCCACCATAAAATGAATATGTATAAATGCATCTTTACTTTGAAGGTATTTGATGTTCAAATGTAGTATGACATTCTCTGGGGCTTTATGAAATTAATTTGTTTAATAACTCTAATTCCACAAAAGTCTTCTTCCATAATTATTTTATTATATCACACTCACGCCAAATGTGAATTAAAGCACCTCTGTGCTTATTGCATCTCCAACAAACTGGAATATAATACACAGCGTGAAAACCCACAGAAAGACGGTTACCGGACCTTAGAATGGCCGGACTAGCGTCTGAGAATAGTCAAGAGAAATAGCCAGAGGTCAGCTACAAGGCTAGACTCGTGGCTGCCCAGGAGAAAGCTCTCTCCGATGGATACCTGCGTGGGGGTATCCACTGGGGAGAGGTAAGTGCGCCAGCAGGGAATCTCTGGAATCAGTCTCACAGCTGCAGGGTCCCGCTGGTACCCCGAGGCAAACGTCCTGAGCAATATTCGGGTGGAGACTGTGGCTGAAGCCCTGATGCGGGTGTTCTCCCGGATGGATTTTCCCCGGGAGATTCTCTCGGACCAGGGAACCCAGTTTACTGTGGAGGTTGTGTGGCATTAAACTGATCCTGAGCTCCCCTTACCAACCACAGACCAATGGCCTGTGCGTGCGCTTCAATGGTACGTTGAAGCAAATGCTCCGTACCTTTGCAGCGACTCCTGACCCATAAACTGTTCGCTTATTGGGAGGTGCCGCAGGAATCAACTCGGTTCTCCCTGTTCGAGCTAATGTTCGGGCGGAGAGTGAGGGGACCCTTAGACCAAGTGCGGGAGCACTGGGAGGGAGCTGGGGATCAGGAAGTGACCACCATAATTCCATATGTGCTGGAGTTTATGGACTGACAGGACAAACTCACCCATCTGTTTGCGAGGAAACCTCCAGGTGGCCAAGAGGCGCCAGTGCATATGGCATGATTGGGGCGCCAGGAGCCATAGCTTTCAGGTGGCACAGAAGGTTTTGGTGTTGAAACCCATCCGACATGACAGGCTACAGGCTGCCTGGCAGGGCCCATACTGGGTAGTGGAACGAGAAGACACTACCATTGTGATCGGTCCATGCTCGGGTACAGGAGTCCGACGCCTGTTACATGTGAACATGCTCAAGCCCTACCATGAGTGGACAGAGGATGTCGCTGCCATTTGCACGCCAGCCTCAGAAGATTATGGCAATATTCCCCTGCCTGTCCTCCTGGAGTATGGGACTCAGACAGGGTCCATAGAAGAAGTCCAGTCAGGGGACCGACTAACCGAAAGCAAACACAGACAGGCGAAACAGATGTTTGCCAAGCGAACAACATTCTCCAACCTACCAGGGTATACCTTGCCCAGACAGGTACACTGGTGCCCCATGGAGTGGAGACCCCCTCTACGGCAGACCCCATACCGGGTACTGAAGGCTGTGCGGGGGAGCATGCTACAGGAGATCCTGGAGATGCTCCAGCTAGGGATCATAGAACCGTCCACAAGTCCTTGGGCCTCCCCAATAGTCCTAGTCCTAAAGAAGGATAGGACTACCAGCTTCTGTGTGGACTACAGGAGGCTCAACTACTAAACAGTCTCCGATGCCTACCCCATTCCCAGCATAGATGAGCTGCTAGATAGGATGGCTCGGGGCCGATACCTCACCACCATTGACCTATGTAAAGGATACTGGCAGATCCCTTTAGCAGCAGATGCTGTCCCCAAGTCCGCCTTCATCATCCCCTTTGGCCTGTACTAGTTTAAAGTCATGCCATTCGGGATGAAGTACGCCCCGGACACTTTCCAATGGATGGTAGACCGGCTGTTAGATGGCCTCCAGGAATATACCTGTGCATACCTGGACGACATCGCCATATACAGGGATACTTGGGAGGAACATCTAGTACATGTGGGGGCTGTGCTGGACAGGATTAGGAAAGCAGGATTAACTCTGAAGCCCAGTAAGTGTACCCTGGGGATGGTAGAGGTACAATACCTAGGACACCGAATGGGGTGTGGGACACACAGAAGCCAGATCCCGCCAAAGTAGAGGCAGTAGCTAGCTGGCCCTGTCCCCTCACTAAGACCCAGGTACTGGTTTTCCTAGGGACCACCGGCTATTATAAG